GGCGGCCGGTGGGGGACCACCCAGCAGGGTCCTGGGCCTCGAGCCAGGCCTTGACTGCTCCTGGGGCCGTGCCACGTGCGGGGCGGGGGTCTGGGCCTCCTCCTCCCTCAGACCCACGGGGCAGCCTCCGAGGGGTGCCCTTGACTGCTCCCAGTCCTCCCCGGGGGGCATTCTCAGGGGCTGGAGCGCTGCCGGTGTCCCCATGCCGGCACCAATCCACAGAAAGTAGCAGGGCTGGAGTGGGTCTGTGTCTGCCTCCAAGCTGGTCCATGTCCTCCTGGGTGGCCGGGGCTCCTGGGCCTGTCTGACCCCGGTTTCCTCACCTGGCAGATACAGGTTATGGAGCATGCTTTGTGGAGCTGGTGGGAGTGTCTGATGAGACAAGCAGGTATCAGACCTAGCCAGGTGCCCATGTGCTCAGGCATGACTGGACCTGGGCTGACCTGAGCTCACCGGAGGGCTGAGACCAGATTCACCGTTTCGGGTCAGGTCAGATTTATCCGAAGGCATCCCTGTCCTTGGGGCTTGGATGGCAGGGCTGGAAGGAAGTGGAGGCTGGGCGACTCTGTGTGTGTGTGTGTGTGTGTGTGTGTGTGTGTGTGTAGCGGGGGAGGAGGGCAGGCCACTAGGTGGTAGCGACCTTGGAGTTAGTTCAGGGCTGCAGTGAGCCATGGAGAACCCCCATGGAGGTGGAGGCAGTAGGGTCTTTGATCTATGGGGGTCTTATCACCAGCACTCGGTGTCATAAGCTCACCTGGCTCCTCACCCCAGCAGCTTGGGGCAGGGACACTGAGGCACAAGCCTAGCTGGGCAGCTGGAGATGACGCAGCCGTGGCAGGCAGGGATTAAGGTGCCTGGTGCCCCCAGCCAAGGGGGCAGAGATGGCTCTGGGCAGAGAGAACCCCCTTCCTCCTAACCTTTAGGTGCTCAATGGAAGGGGCCGAGCATCCCAAACAAGGCTGGGGAGGTCCTCACACAGAGGGGTGGGGGACAGGTCCCACGGGCCAGCCTGCGGTCCTGGCTGCAGTGATGGGAGGCTGACCCAAAGCCTGGTCCTGTAGCGGTGGTACACGAGGGACTCCTGACGTGTGTCTGCGTGTAGGCAGAGCTGCTGCCTTGGCGTGGGGAGAGGAGGGCAGGAAGGCAGAGCCCTGTACTGCCGAGAGTGGAGGCCCTCCCAGGGGACTCGGGGGAGGACAGGGGTGGGCGCTGGATTTGGCTCCTAGGGCTTAGGCCTCCCTGGACGGGCCACTCGTCAGCCTGACAGCCACAGGCATGAGGGTGGCAGGCAGAGGGACTGACGGCATGATGGAACGCTGCAGAGCCAGCCCAGAGGACAGAGGAGCCGGCCTAGCCCTTCACATCGGGCCGTGGCAGGAAGACTGGCCTCCCTCCATGCCCCTCCGTGCCGTCACAGGGCTCTGTCCTTCAACTTCCCAGCGAAGAGAAACCCCTCTTAGCAGCCGTGTGAGGTGAACGTCAGCAGGACCCACACTCTGCTGTGGACCAGTGGCCTTCAGAACCAGCACCCTGGCGGCCCTCTCCGAGGCCCCTCTGGCCTGGCCCCCGACTTGGCTGGAAGAATCCCTGGGGGAGGGGGAGGCAGCCATAGTTTGGGGGCCTTTAGAAGTGGGGAGGTGACCAGCTGGCTACAGTGGAAAGAGCAGGCTGGGCTGAATCCTGCCTCTGGGGAGACCAGGCTGTCTCTAGCCCTCCGGGTTCTGCCAGGCTGGGGGGAGGGAGAGAGGGGGAGCCCGTGCGGATGGGGCCGGCTTTGTCTCTAGCCAGCTGAGCAGCACTGGGGGCTGAGGTTTGCAAACAGCTGATGGTCTTTGGGCAGGGGAAGCAGGTGCCTGGGCCCTGCCATGATGCCCATGTTAATAAGCGTAGGGGGCAGGCTCAACGGGTGAGCTGCTACCCAGCCACTCCCTCACTCTCTCCATGGGTGACGGGCCAACGCAGAGACCCAGCTACGGGGGTACTTGCCCCAAGGCACGCAAGTCCAAGGGGGTGCCAGCGGAGATGGGCTGGTGAGTCACAGAACCCCCCATGCACACACACCTTCACGAGGAGTGGGTTGCAAGCTTATAGACTGACCCCGGTCTTTCCGTACCTTTGCTATGCCTCTGGGCCAGAGTGGGCTTCCCCACAGCCTCTCTGCACAAGGGCCACCTGTCCCAGACCCTGAGAGGGGCTCTCACACCTCCCCCACCCCCAAGCCCAGCCCCTTCCCTGCACCTCCAGACACAAAGAGGTTCTGCTTCCCCTCCCCCCACCTGCAATGCCTTAGGCCCCTGCAGATGCCCACCCACTCAGAGTGACAGCCCCGGCTCTGGGGCAGTTGTGGGCCTGGGGCCTCGGAGGGGAGGGGCTACAGGGGGCCTGACCGACTCCGGCCTCAAGGAGCTGGGCCTGTCCCTGATCGGAACGCCGCTCTGCCCAGCCGAGGTCCACTGTGCCCCAGCAGCTGGCCAGTCACCATTTCCTCCTGTTGCACGAGATTTTATTGGGTGCTTGTTATTCTCCCGGGCCTGGCAGCTGCAACTCGCCCAGGGGCTGCGGCGGGCTGAGTCCTCCTGCCGACCCCCTGCACTGGTGTGGGCTCCCCGCGGAAAACAGGGAGCAGTGGACCACAGGGGCAGAGGGGTGGCCAGGGCCACTGGAGGGCTAGGAAAGGCTTGCGGAGGGAGCTGCCGCAGCCCACGCCCACCCAGAAGCCCCAGGTCAGGAGGCGCCGCCGAGTGGCCGTGACCTTGGCGGGGAGGGATCGCCGGCTGGTTGTGGCTGCCCGGTAGGGGCTCAGCGCGTGCCCGGCTCCCGCCACCCCCCGCGCGCCGCCCCCCGCCGGGCGCGCCAGCATTGGAAGGCGGCGGCCAGGAGTCCGAGGCCCGCGGCCAGCGCAGCCAGCGACGCGCCCTGGGCCAGGTCCAGGCGGGGCCCGCGCAGCGAGAAGGTGATGGCCGTGGCGGCGCCGCCGGCCAGCAGGGCCACAGCGCCGAATGGTAGGACGCAGCGCGGCCACGAGACCCCCGCGCCGCCGGTGGCCAAGAGCAGCGCGCGCAGGGCCCCGGGGAATGCGGGGGGCGCCAGGTCCGGCGGAGCTGCCGCGCCGGGCGGGGGATCCGGCGCGCTCATGCCGCCGATGCGGGGGCTGCGCTCGGGGGCGGACGGGGGGGCGCGCGCGTCGGCGCAGCCCCCGCTCCTCCCCCCAGCCGCCACGTCAGAGCGGATTGGCCGCGGACGCGGTGACGCCACTGGGACGGGGAATTGGGGTGGGCGGGCCCTAATCCGGAGGGGGTCTCCCTTCTGCTCTGCAGTGTTGGGGCCTCCTCTGATCTCACCGCCCCCTCCCTGCCCAAGAAGGTGCAGGGGTGTCCACGAGGCAGCAGCAGCACCCGACCGTACCCAGCCTGGCTGGCCCAGAGAGAGGTGGGCAGTGAGTAACCCAGTTAGGCACCCATCTGGGCCCGGCAGGAGCAGAGATGGGCAGCACCTACCCCAGTGGGGCAGGGAGACGGAAGGTCCAGAACGTGTGTTAGTGAGAACCCAACGTGGGTACTGCCTCAGGGGGCAGACACAGGGTCACCGCAGCAGGGTGCTGGCATCAGCCCGGGAACTGGGCCCCACTGCCCCGCGGCCATTTCTCCACTTCCTACTTTGGCTTGTCACCTGGTCCCTAGCAACCCTCAAGCCCATCTATGTCCCTGTCGTTCCAGCTGGACTGTGGGTCCTTTCCCAGTGGGGTCTCCTGGCTGCCAACCGCCTCTTCCTCTACACTTGGTGCTGTTCCCCGTGGAAGTGTCCTTGTAGTTACAGCCCAGGGTTTGCAACCCAAAGCCAGTGTCCCCAGTTTGAGTAGTGCCGGGCACGTAGCTGGCCGGTGAAGGCCTTTCAGGGGGTGCTGGTTGCACCTCCAAGTGCTCGGCACGACCCAGCTGCCTTAGAGGCATGGCTACACCACTGCAGGTGACAACTGTCAGCCCCTGGCCTGACAGTGGGGACAACCCCGGGGACCTGAGGCTGGGTCCTTAAAGGGAAAAAGGACCCAAAGTCCCTGTGTCTGTGACCGTGCAGGCCGTGGCGCTGACCCTCCATAGGCAGCGCTGTCCTCAGCAGGCGTGGGGGGTAGGAGAGCCCCCCAGGGTGACAGTGGGGTGCATCAGACAGCTTGTGCAGCCCCCCACCCCGGGCCTTTCCGCTCTCTCAGTACCCACAGGATGTGTGATTCTTGAGCGAAAGACCAACACAGCAGCAAAGGGAATTCTCAGGTCCCACAGACAGCATCTGTTTTCTAAAGGGGTTTAATGTCACATGGTGGCTTCATGTCCACAAAGAGGGGGCCAAGAGGCTCTGCCTGGCTTCCTGCCCTACCATCCAGGCAGGCAGAATGGGGCTTGAACCTGTGGGTTTTGAGGTGCTACGAAGGCTCTAGGCTCCCCCAAAAGATCTGGATGTAGGATATCGTGGCTGTGCCGTCTTGGAGCCCTGAGCCGCCGGGACCGGTGAAAACCCAGATCCCACCCGTGATCCCTGTAACTCGCCTGGGCAGACAGACTCCGGCAAGAGCCAGCTGGTGGAGCCCAGGTCCTGAGGGCAGGGGTCTGTCTGCAGCCTGGGGCTCGGGGCAGCCAGGGGGCGGGCTCAGTCTGCAGGCTCATCCTGCAGGACGATGGGGAAGTGCTCACCGCCCTCACACAGCAGGCTGTACACGGCGCGGCACAGGGGCAGACAGGTGGGCCCCTGGGCATTCACCACGGGGAGGAGCTCGGTCATCAGGACCTGTGGTGGGGGGCAGGGCCAGGGGCTCAGGAGGCGGGGTAACCTTTGGCGTGCCCCCATGTCCAGCAGGGGCCGTGCACTGGCTGGCTACTTCCTGAACACAGACCCCTCATGTGCAGCCCAGCCAGGGGCTCCCCGCCCCCCCAGCTCCTGAAGTACCTTCTCCAGGTGCAGCTGCTCGTCCAGCATGGCCACTCGCAGCCTGAGGGCTACCAGGGTCTGCAGCTCCCGGGAGCTGGGGTAGAGTAGCAGCGGGGGGCTGCGGCCGGCATCTGGGGCTCCTCTGCAGGGGGCCGAGGTTCTCGGGGGCAGCCCCAAGGGCCACAGCTGCAGCTGCTGTTCTGCTGCCACTGAGGACAGGGGACACGGCCTCCTGGGGGAGCCTCCACGCCCAAAGCCCAGCTTCCCTCAGGGCCTAGTCCTGCTCCCGTCACCCGCACCCCGCGCATACACGTGAGCTCTGCCTGCGGGTGTGTGTGTGGGGAGGGGCCCGGGGCCAGGGAGGCCTGCCACAGCTATGATTTTGGAGACTGACTTTTCTTAAAAGATGATATATATCCCCTGTTAAAAGTTCCAGCAATGAAAAAACAGATCAAAAACCCTCTAACGTCCAGAAAAGACAGCCTGGATAGTGCAGCAGGCAAAGCATTTGACTGGTAGCCGAGGGTCGGTGTTTGAACCACTAAGATCACAGCCATGGGGACCCCGTGGGGCGGTTCCACTCTTCTCTGGGGGCGCTGTGAGTCAGAACGGACTCCCCGTGGCTTTGGTTTGGAATGCCCAGAATCGACACCTCTCCTGGTAACTGCTGAGGAAACTCCCATCACCTGAGGACCTCACAGGCTACTTCTTAAGAGGGTAAGCACTACTCCTCGAGTTGGCTCTGCCATCAGGGTGGAGGGAGGCGAGGCCTGCCACCGTGCCCGCACTCACTTCCATCTATGGGCCCAGGGGTGATGGGTGGCCTCCGGGAAGGCCCGGCCACCTCTGGGCTGATCTTTCCTGACGGCAGGTGAGAACCCGCTCAAGTCCCAGCACTGCCCTGAGGCCCAAGGACCGGACAGTGCAGGCTCTGGCCAGCTGGTGGGGGGGGGGCGGGCCTCACCTTCGCGCAGCTCCTGCAGGCGGTGCAGACAGCGCCCCACCATGGCCTGCAGCCCCTCCAGAGTGAGCAGACTGCGGTACGCCTGCACCGGGTCAGCGGGTGCTACATGAGAGAAGGGAGGGTGGGGTCCAGCTCAGGCCGCCCTGTGCCCCTTCTCAGCCCACCGAGCCCCACGGGGCCGCTAACCTGCCTCCAGCTCGTTCCTCATGCGCAGCCGCAGCAGTGAGCAGGCCTGCCGCAGGCGCCCCAGCTCCGTCCGCCCCGCGGCCGTGCCGAGCCGCCCCCTGGGCTGGCCTGACTAGGGAGCCTGTCAGGGAAACTCTCCTGCAGCCAGGCCCCGCTCCGCCCCCAGGCCAGTGGCCTTCCTGGGCAGCTCCTCTGAGCCGCCAGGGTGGAAGCCAGGGGCCACCAGACCCCACGGGGCTGCCAAGGATACTGCTGCCTGCATCTTCTGCAGGAATCGGGCTCTGGCCGCGGTGCTGGCAGGGTCACTGGTCTGTGTGGAGTTGATCTGGGCCCACAGGCTGGGACACACGGGTCCCCGAGAACCAAGACAGGGAAGCTGTTACTCCAGCCCAGTGGGCAAGGGCCCCAGCTGGGGTGTCTGGAGGCCTCAGGGAAAAAGGGGACGCTACCAGGAGACAGGGACAAGGCTGACCCACTCTGGGGGCCACTCAAGGGCAAACGGGAGGGGCTGGGCTTCTCTGAAGAGAAGGAGGTCGTAGGCAGTAGTCCTGTGACACCCTCCATGCCCGGCACAGCGCCAACATGAGAAGGGGCCCCCTGATTCAGTCTCCACGACACCCCGACACAGCTGCTAGGATGCTGTCCCCACCACCAGGGAGAGTGGGACGTGGGACCACGTGTCCTCCTTAAGGTCTCATACTGTAAGTAGTTGAGTTGGGGGCCCTCAGAGCCTGCTGAGGCCAGGTGACCAAGGGGGCCCAGCTGGTCGCTCTCCCCACCCAGCCCAGAAAAGAGGAACCTCCTAGAAGTGTCCCCATCATCCCCGACCCCACTGCCCTTCCTCAACGCCCCCGTCCGCCCACCGAGTCACCAGACTCCGCCTCACCGGGAGTTCTGAGAAGCCACCTTCCGGAAGGCCAGGGGCAGCCGCAGCAGGGTCCTGTCGGGGAACTGAAGCTGAGTGGCCTGGGGGTCTGCAGGCCTTGGTCCCTGCTCAGAGTCCCATCAGCAGTGGGGCCCCAATCCCCACTCGAAGCCCTGTCAGTGATGGGGGCCCCCTGGGGGTCTGCAGGTCTCGTGCCCTGCTCAGAGTCCCATCAGTTACGAGGCCCCAGTCACCACTGAGAGCCCCGTCAGTGATGGGGGCCCCCTGGGGGTCTGCAGGTCCCATTCCCTGCTCAGAGCCCCATGAGTTACGAGGCCCCAATCCCTGCGCAGGGTTTTGTCGGTGATTAAGCCACCCCCCTTCTCTCCCTGAGATATGTTCCCATGAGCAGGGCTCCCAGAGTGGCCGTGGGACTGGCTTAGCCCAGGTCTGCTGGGCAGAAGAGCCTGCCCTCCTGAGGCCATCAGGAACTTGGGGACCAGGTCCCAGAGAACCAGCTCCCTGCTCCAGGGTGTGAGGCTCAAGGGGTGGCACCCTGCACCCCCATCACCCCCAGGCCCGGCCCCCTGGTCAGCAGACGTGCTGTGGAGACGGCAGACCCTGCTGCGCAGGCTGCAGACACCTACCCCTTGTCCCGGAGCGTGAAGGTTTCGGGGGTCCCAGGAGCTGCTGAGGGGGTCGCCTGTTGGCCCCCAAGGCTGGGCCTGGTGACTCGGGCTCCTCTCTGCAGAGGGGTCCTGCCCCCGGCGGACAGCAGCCTGCACTCTGGGGGGCCCTTGGGCTGGGGTAGGCCCCTGGGGGGTCTGGTCTCTGATGCACGGCTGCCAGCCCGACCTGGGGCCCGGGGTGGGGCCGAGGTGGCGGGGGCAGCAGCGGTGGCCGCGGGCCTGGGTTTCCGGCCGGGGGCCTTGTCTCCCCGTCCAGCCCCAGGGGTGCCTTTCCGCACCCGCACCGCCTTCTCCAGAGCCTGGGTCAGGAGCTCCAGCTCCTTGAGCTCCTGGGGGCTGGGCGTGCACGCATCGTGCCGGGGACCCTCCTCACTTCCCGCCACCTGAGCCAGGGGCACGCCAGGCCTGGAGAAGGCGGGGGGCCGAGGCGTACCTGGGGGCGGGGTCTCTTCCTTTGATTCCGGCCCCGGGGTTGGCTCTGCTGCTGGGGACCCAGCTGGTTCCCTGCGGAGACACAGGGGACCGTGGCGCGGCCAGAAGGCAGGGGGCCTAAGCCGACCAGACCCCAGGGGCGCCCCCTGCCTCGGACCCTGATGAGCAATGAGGGGGCTGACAGCGGGAACGCGGAAGTGGGACAACTCGGCGCAGGGGCCCGCGGGGGACTCCGCGGAACCGAGGGGGCACAGCCTGGCATCCCAGGTCTGCCTACCAAGGTCTCAGCAGCCGCCGGCAGACGCGCAGGCTCCGGTCCAGCTGCCGCTGTCGCTCGGCGCAGGCGTCCAGCGCGCCCTGCAACTCGGCCACCAGTCTGGGACGGACGCACCTGCGGCTCAGCACCGCGGCCCGGACCCCAGACCCGCGCCCGCCCGCACACCCTTCCCAGTGCGAGGGGCTCACCGGCGCGAGCAGTCGGCTGGCAGCATGGAGGAGACAACCGCGGCGACACTTCCCAGCTGTTTGCCGCCACAGTTAAGTCCTGCCCCTTCCGGGAGAGAAGGCTACCCCTTTCCGGCCTGGATAGCCAATCATGAAACGAGGCCTCAGAACCCGCCCCTCCGACGCGAAGGCCCACCCTCTCTCTTCACGCTCAACCAACCCTGACAGTGGCCTCGCCCTAAGCCCCGCCCCGTCCCGTATTCCCGTCCCCAGTGGGCGGCTGTAGAGCCGGCTCGCAGCAGGGTGGAGGGGACCTCGGTGACGCGCAGCCTTGAAATTGGGGTAACTGAGCGGAGGGGGAGCGCCAGCTCCGAGCGCCTCTTGCAGAGCACTTTTCCTCATTTAACGATTGGCTTCATGTCTGCCTCCGAACAGGGCTTTCCAGCACAGGATGAGACCTATGGCCGACTGGTGGTCGGAACAAAGCCGCGAAGGAAGTGTTCACTTCTGGGACATCTTCCGTTAGGATCATGGAAGCCACCTGGACAGGGCGTGGCTCAGGGAGCCAACTGTTGTCCATGGACCACAAGGCTGGGCGAGAAGGGCTGAGGCGGGGTGCTTGGACCATCCCAGTAGAGGAGTAGGAATGGGAGGCTGGCCCCGGAGGACGACCAGACGTGGGGTTAAAGCATCGTGGTATCAGTCCCAGAGGTGGCCCCCTGTCTTCAGTAACCCAGGGGGCAGCAGGCCCCAGTGATATCAGTTACAAGATTCAAACACAGTAGGGGATGAGGAATGTCGTGCAGTAGCTAGAGCAGGGACACACATGGGGGCATTGTTTAAAGAGCGATTCCAAGCCATTGCCTCGAGTTGATCACGACCCACAGTGCCCCTAGAGGACAGAGTGGAAGTGCCCACAGGGTCTCCCAGGCTGTCAATCTTCATAGAAGCAAAGCCCAAACCACAGCCACTGCATGGAGTGGATTCCGACCCACAGCGCCCCTAGAGGACAGAGTGGAATTGCCCACAGGGTATCCAAGGCTGTCAGTCTTCAAGGAAGCAAAGCCCAAACCACACCCACTGCCTGGAGTCCATTCTGACTCACAGCGCCCCTAGAGGACAGAGTGGAACTGCCCACAGGGTCTCCCAGGCTGTCAATCACATGGAAGAAAAGCCCAAACCACACCCACTGCCTGGAGTCCCTTCTGACCCACAGCTCCCCCTAGAGGACAGAGTGGAACTGCCCACAGGGTCTCCAAGGGTATAAACCTTCACTTAAGCCCACTGCCTCATCAGTCTCCTATGAGGCAACTGATGGGTACCAACCACCAACTCTTTGTTAGCAGCAGAGCACTTTAACCACAGTGCCCTGATGAATCCATTTCATACTAAGAAGGCAAAGCAGCTGCAAACAGAGGTCGGCAGTTCAAACCTGAGGTGCTTCACCAAAGGGCCCAGCAATGAGAGACTGCAGCCAAGAAAACTGATGGGGCAGGCCTGCTCTGACCCAGGGTCTGCGCTGAAATGTACTCGCACAGGCCTAAGGGGTGGACCGGACCAGGGCCTCCAGGGAGGGTCCAAGGGCAGGGCCCTCCGCTGCACTGACTTATTTTCATGCCCCAGGGGCAGCTGATAGATATGCAATCGTCAGTGGGGAGGGGGAGTCAGTACTCGGGAGGCCTCACTGTCATGGGCTGTGATGTCCCCACAGCTATTTCCTCCCCAAGGGGCAGGCCAGAAGGCAGAGAGCTGGGTCCATGGCAAGCTGGGGATTTGATAGCGGTACGTCTGACAGTCACTCGATTGACACCACTCTCACCATTTAATCCTCACAGTGCCCCTGTGAGGGAGGTATCGTCACCCCATCTTACAGATGAGGAAAGTAAGGCTCAAAAGGTTAACAGTGCACTGGCAGGCGCAGTCCCAGGGCAGCTCTGTGGTTCCTCACCCCAAGCCCAACCCCCCCAGGCTGGCGGAGTACTTGTGGCCAGGAGACAGCAGCCAAGGGCATCCGAGACAGGAGAGGGTGACAGGGCCGCGACTGTCAGGCCACACCTCCACATCCCTGCACATTTGGTTCAAGAGCAACTGTGGGACACCCCGGCCCAGTGAGTCTTTCTTGCATTGTAACAGCAAGTGTGCTGGCACCAGTGAACCTGGGAGGCACCTCCCGGCTGGCCAGCCCCTGGGGTTTCCCAGGCCACTGCCGGTCTCTCCTGTGACATCAAAGGCAGGTACCTGGCTTTCTTCCATGGGGATCAGGAGCCGATACAGTGAGGGGTCACCCCAGGACACAGGAGGGGCGAGGACTTGCACCGTGCAGCACCATGGCTCTGTTCCGCATTGTGGTTCCCTCAGATGTTATTAATGACTTAAACCATGGCTTTCTGCAAGGAGGGTTCTGCATTAACAGTGTCCAGCAGCCGGAGGGGCCGCGTCCAGCGTCCCCATCTCGGGGCCAGGCCTGACGAACACGGGTGCGCTCTTGTTTTAATACCCTCGACTCTTAGTCCTTCTTTCATTTTGAGAAGAACGGTGAGCGGAAATAACAGCAAAGGCGACTGGGAAATTCAGTGCAGCGCTCCCGTGGAGGCTGTGGGGATGCAGGGGGCAGGGAGTTCTGAGACGGGACCGGATTCCCAAGGCAGAGAGGCTGGAGCGGGAGCCTGTGGCCTGCCACAAAGCAGTCACAGCCACGTCTGTGCTGACACTTGGGGACAAAGCCCCCCACCACGGGACCCAGTTTCAGGTGAGGAGCAGTCTGCCGCACAGGCTGCCTGGCCCACAGTGGCGGGGGTTCAGTGGGGGCTGGGAAGACCAGGAGGTGGGCCCCAGCTGCTGGAGAAGCGGCACGGGGAGGGCACGGGCTCACGCAGGGCTTGGGGGCGGGTGTCACGGGAGAAAGAACCTGAGTGTTTGCTACCAAAGTGGCCCAGAACCCCGGAAGAGGAACTTGGCGCCCACGCTACAGCTGCTGTCTCACGGCCATGCTGGGGCTAGATGGCATCCCTGTCAGGGTCCCCTCCGCGCCCCAGCGAAGGGGCCCCCCTGTAAACATTCACTGAGCACCCCGCGCGCCCACTCACAGAGTGGGGAGGCCCGCGGTCCCGCTCCCCCCACCATGCTCCGCTGTGTGTTTGCGCTTGGCCAGCTGGCGGGGCCCACCACTCTCCGGGGGTTCTGGGGAGCAGCACTGTAAACATGACTTCCTGCCGTGGCAGCGGCAGGGGTGTGGGTGTGCGCCGCTGCCCGGGGACGGCGCTGAGGTAGGTCGTGGGGGGCCGCCGTCCCCGCAGCTGGTCGGGCTCTGGCTGCTGCTGACAGAGGAGTACCCTGACGTTGAGGTGTCCCTGCCGGGCCCCGGCCTGCCGCAGGGAGGTGACTCTGGCCCCGGGCTCTCCGGGGTCTGGGGTCTTGGCATTGTGGCGAGTGGGCGCTGGAGGGCTCCTTCCTCCGAGCAGGCCTCCTCGTCACTCGATTCCTGGCAGCAGTGTTGCTCTGGGTTCAGGCAGACCACGGTGACGTCGAGGACACCGCTGGGAGCCGTTACTGTGGGAGACATTGGGGAGAGGTCATGCCATCAGCAGTGCGAGAGTTGAAAGCACCCTGTTGGGGTCGGGCACCCTTGACGCGGCCCACCTTCCCGCTCCCTCTGGGTACGGAAAAGCTGCCTTCATGACTTTGAGGACAGGGCAGAGTGACAACATGATGGCCTCTCATTTGAGCTGCCCCAAGTGGCCAGACAGGAACTGGAAACGGAGCAGCCAGTCCAGCTGGGCCCCCCAATGTGTGTCGTGTGAGGATGAGGCCCAGGAAGCTGGGGAACGGTCGGTGCCAGCCCCGGAGGCAGCTGGGCCCGGGGGCGGGGCAGCACTCAGGCGAACCACTGGGTGCACCCTGGCCAACTCCAGCTCTGCTTCCAATCGATCTAGAAAGTTCTCAGAGCAACTCCAGCCAGGTGTCCTTTGCTCCCTGCCCTGGGGAGGTTTCCCACCGTCTCCCAACACGCCCAGCTGGAACGGACATGGGCTGGGCTTCCTGGTCATAGTCAACCTGTGTCTGGACCTGTTCTCCTGCAGGCAAAGGCCTGGCACGGCCCCCCACCCCCCTCCTCCTCCCTCTCCAGAGCCCCTGGTCTGTTCCCCTCACCCCTGCCCCAGGCATGGGGCTCAAGGTGACCCCGTGGGTGTCAGAGTGGAACAAGGCTCTGCAGGGTTTTCTGCAGCTGCTTGTTTGCAAGGAGACGGCCAGGCCTTACTTCCCAGGTGCGTCTGGATGGTCTCAAACCTGCACCTGTTTGGGCAGCAGCTGAGCACTTAGCCGTCGGCACCACTGGGACCCCAGGGGGGTCACAGCGACCCGGGGGGGGGTGCCGGCCACCACGTACCGTCACCCTCCTTCTCGCCCTCGCTTTCCTGGTCCCCCTCGTAGCCGGAACAGTAGTCCAGACTCCAGTCCAGGAAGCTGCCCAAGAGCGTGTCCTCCTGGCTGGAGAGCTCGGCTGTGGGAGTAGTCACAAAGCTGCCTCGGTCATGCAGGCTGTTCTCCCGCTTCCTGGGTGCGGGCAGGGAAAGGCAGGTGAGCACTGTGGGGGCGGTCCCCACCTCCCACCGGCCCAGGCACTCAGCTGCAGGGGCCTCGAGGACACGGACCTGGGGGAGGACGGATCAAACAACCCACCACAGTGCTAGGTACAACTGCCCTCAGGGTCTCCCAGGCTGTCAATCTTCCCAGAAGCAAAGCCCAAACCACACCCAGTGCCTGGAGTCCATTCCGACCCACAGCGCCCCCAGAGGACAGAGGGGAGCACACTGCCAGATCTGTTTCCTGGTGAGTGTCTGGTGGGTCAAAAGGCTGACCTTCCAGCAGCTGAACACTTTAACCAATGTGCCACCAGGGCTCCTTGGAGGAACCACAGTACAAGCCAAACCAGGGCCTGTGTCAGGGTTCGCCTCCTGCCTGCCGCCCGCAGCTGCAGAGGGACCTGGGCCAACCATGTGGCTCGTCTGGAAATGGTGGGACAACAGGCTGACTGAGCCTTATCTATCACGGGATGTGTGATGTGTTGGGCACAGGCCCTGTCGCCTGGCGGGGCTACTACTCCATTGGGGCTGCTGCCCAGGGCCGGCCTCCCAGCCCTACTCTCTGGGCACTGACGGAGCAGCCCCCTGAGACCCTGGTGACTGGCGGTTCACAGCCACACTCAGGGCTGGCAGCACAGAGGCCCTGGGTCACTGGGGCTTGGAAGGAACCACAGTTCCTGGGAGGAGGAGTGGGGGCCAAGACAGGAGAGGGAGTTATCTGAGGAGGTGAGTAAGTACCACAGGACTAACATGGGGAGACGGGCGACGGAGGACCGAGCGGAGGAAGCAGGAAAGCACGGAGGGTGTCAGTGCTGGGGCTGGGAGTGTCACTGACAGCATGGGGCAGGGCGGCCCACGGTGGCACCCAGGGGGCAGGTTAAACAAGAGACTCGAGACCTCGAAGGAGAAGGGGCTTCAAGGCTGGAGGCTGGAACCAGGCGGAGGCCGGGTGCCAGCTTTGGGTCCCATCCCACCTACTGTGGGACCCAAACCCACTGCCTCACCCCCCAGCCTAGCGGCCTCCCCAACAAGATGGTGCGGCTGCCCTGAGGCCATGCAGGGGCTCTGGGGGGCCTCAGTGTCACCCGGCCTGCGGGAGCCTGCGTCCTGTGGCCCCCAAGGGGAATGCGGGGGCACACTCACCGTTTGGTCCTCCTCCCGGACGGGGAGGTGAGGAAGGCGTGGACTTCCCCCTCACTGAAGAGCACCGCGGGCTCGGGGTCCTCCTGTTGCACGCCCAGCAGCGCGCAGAGCTGGCTGTAGCCAATCACCTGAGAGGACGGGGTCAGGGTGTGTGTGGGGAGAGGGGACGCGAGCCCGTGAGCCCCTCCAGGCCGGCCCGCGCACCCCGACCTGGCCCGCGCACCCCAACCCAGCCCACACACCCTGCTCCGACCTGCGCACCCTGACCTGAACACCCCGACCCAGCCCACGCACCCCGATCCAGTCCACACACCCCGCCCCGGCCCGTGCACCCCAACCTGCGCACCCTAACCTGGCCCGTGCACCCCGATCCAGCCCATGGTACCCCGCTCCCTGTCCCTGGCCCGCACCTCCTCCTGACTGATCCCCTCGTAGCGCTTATCCTCAAATCGTTGCTTCACGGCCGTCAGAGACACCTGCCTGTAGTCTTTGGGGGCATCATCGTGGAAGCTAGGAATAAGGGAGACAGTGAGGGGCAGCCACACAGGGGGCTCAGGCAGGCGGCATCGACAGCCCCGCTGAGCTTGCTGCCAAGGGGGCGTGGGAAACAAAGGGTTAAACACGGAGTCACCATGTGATCCAGCAATTCCGTTCTTGGGCAGAAGCCCAAGAGAAGTGAAACTGACGTCTACACAGATCTGCACGCGGACGGTCACGGCAGCGGTCTACACAGATCCCTGCACGCGGACGGTCACGGCAGCGGTCTATACAGATCCCTGCACGCGGACGGTCACGGCAGCGGTCTACACAGATCTGCACGTGGACGGTCACGGCAGCGGTCTACACAGATCTGCACGTGGACGGTCACGGCAGCGGTCTACACAGATCCCTGCACGCGGACGATCACGGCAGCGGTCTACACAGATCCCTGCACGCGGACGGTCAAGGGAGCGGTCTACACAGATCTGCACGCGGACGGTCAAGGGAGCGGTCTACACAGATCTGCATGCGGACGGTCACGGCAGCGGTCTACACAGATCCCTGCACGCGGACGGTCACGGCAGCGGTCTACACAGATCTCTGCACGAGGACGGTCATGGCAGCGGTCTACACAGATCTGCACGCGGATGGTCACGTCAGCGGTCTACACAGATCCCTGCACGTGGACGGTCACGGGAGCGGTCTACACAGATCTGCACGTGGACGGTCACGGCAGCGGTCTACACAGATCCCTGCACGCGGACGATCACGGCAGCGGTCTACACAACAGCCAAATGGATACAACCAGTGTCCTCCAGCTGACAGGCAGACGGACCCATCGGCCTTCAGCTGACGGACGGACACACCAGCACCCTTCAGCTGACAGGCGGACGGACTCACATCCCTCAGCTGACGGGTGGATGGACCCAGTGGCCTTCACACACGTGAAGCAGTCATGGTCGTTGACGTTTACAGACACATCGTCGGCTCATTGAATGCCTCATGCTGCAGGAGCGGTGCGTGCGCTGGCGGACAGCCCTCGTGAGAGCACGACCCGTCAACAGTGCTGCGGGAGGAGACTCACCACTTCTTATGAAGGCTCAACACACAGGGCACGAGGTCGTCGTAGGAGAAGCCGGTGAGGTCCCAGAGCCGAGGGGGCCAGGCCTGTGCTGGGGAGGAGAGCAGGCCAGGGGTGAAGTGGCCGTTCTGAGCACGCCCACCCCAGCGGCTCGGCCGGGTCCTTTGGGACGGGCTGGGCGCTGCGATCCTTGGACTGCTGTTCTGTGAACACCCCCAGGTAACGGATGCACACTCGCTGCCAAAACTGGAACCTACCGGAGCTCGAAGAGCCAGCTGCGTGGAGTTGATAGCGACACACAGTGACCATGTGCCACAGGCCTGGGCGCCATGCGGCCTCAGGGGCCCGTCTTTTTACGGCATCACCAGGCCTTTTTTCCGAGGTGCCTCTGGGTCGCCTCGACCCACCAGCCTCTCAGCCAGCCACTGAGCACGTACTTGTCTGCCCCTGCTGGGGGCTGCCCTCAGCCAGGCCCACCTCCCATCTCAGCCCCAGAGAGAGCTGCCACTGGTCGCTCTCAGGACGGACGCAGCCCCCCATCTTCTCCTCCCCCCCAGGCCCTGGGTCCCCGGCTCCTTACTCTGCCTGTGCGTCAGCCTGGCCAGGAGCAGGGCGGCGGCCGCCAGGTGGGCGGGGGCGTAGGCGGAGAGGCCGGTGTGCAGCAGGGAGAGCTCACACAGCAGGCTGCACAGGTGCTGGGTCCTCCGTGCCACGGGCACCAGCGCCATCAGTACCTCTTTGTAGTCAACCACGGTCGGGATCTGCAGGAGGCGGGAGGTGGGTGCTGGGGGCGTGGTGCAGAGGGCACCCCCCCGTCCCATCCAGCCGCTGAAGCTCGGGGTACACAAGGCACCACGCACCAGCAGGTTTGGCTCCACAGCACCCCGTCCGGCCTGGCTCCCAAGAGCTCAAAGCCACGCAAAGGCTCCTGGCTCCTCCCACCCCCGTGGCCTCTAGCGTGCGCGATGACAGCTGGAGCCCAGCGAGGAGAGAGGCCCACTCACTCGGATTTTCCCCTCCAGGGCAGACACGATCTCGCCCATCATCCTCACGAGGTCTTCGTACTTATACGTGTTGTCGGTGAGCCACACGGCCTCACGGATGGTCAGGATCTCCTTACTGATGAACCTGGGACGTGGGGACGGACGCTCGGCACTCAGCCCGGCCCTCCACAGCCGGCACGTCAGGAAGGGCCCTCTGAGCCCACCCTCCACGCAGTGGCCACGGCTCAGGGGAGGCTAACACGGGAAGCACCCTCTGAGCCCACCCTCCACGCAGTGGCCACGGCGCAGGGCCCAGGGCTACTAGGTGGCTTCTGGGACTGACGGACGGAGGACCCTCTTTAGGGTTCCATGACAACAGGAGGCTCACGATGTCCCTGTCTGCCAGTGACAGACCAGGGGACAGGGAAAGCCGACTGTAGAAGGTCCCGGAAAAGACACGAGAGGAGAACAAGACACGTCCTCCCAGGAGCCCCGACGGCCTCACCGCAACCCCAGCACCGTATCTGTGCGGTCAGTCGGCCTCCGACACCCGCCTGCAACGGCGTCTATCAGACACATGCCGAGGTGGGGTTTCCCCGAGTGGCTGCGGGCACAGAGCCTCTCAGGTTGTCTAAGGAGGCAGGTCACGCCCCAGGCTGGCCACAGGGACCCTGACTGGCTCCCTAGTCTCCCTCGGTGCCAACACTTAAAAACACATTGGTCCAGTGCCCACTGGAAGGACACCTTCCCCGGGAGGGTGACACTTGTGTGGCCAGCCTCAGGGACCCGTGGCTCCCACAATGGGAAGGCGGCGGTGCCGTGATTAGAATTCTAAAGCTAGAAATGGAGACATGAGTGGGCTCCGTGGGTCTTCCCTGGGGTGTGTGGCAGGCCAGCAGGGCAGTGTGGGTGCTGGGTGGCACAGGGCCTACCCTAGAAGGTGGGTGCACCCACGACCGCACATCGGCCGGCTGGTGAGTGCCACCTGAGGGAACGCGAGGCCCCCTCACTTGAGGGTGACAGGGAACCAGGACAAGCCTGGGAACCCTCCATGGGACCTGAGGACCCTCCCCCGTCTCCACGGTGGCCGCAGGGGCCAAGGGCAGTGAAGCGACACCCCTCCTTGCCTGGGTGTGACCACCTTCCAAGTCCCGAGACCGCGTGGAGGAGTGGTCCTCTGGACACAGGTGACCCTTCACCAAGGGCCCTGTACTGTGTGGGGACACTTAGCTCTGGCACTCCCTAAAACTGAAACCGCTGGGCCACCAGGGCTCTTGTCACTTAGCCCCAGCTGTGACTGCAGAGAGCCTGGTGCACAATTCAACCCGTAATATTGTCTAAGCCAGTAACAGAGGCTCACGGTGAGCAGGAGAAAGTTCTGGAACCCGGAACCGGCCAGTGCAAGGAGCCTCACCGGGTGCAGATGACCATGCAGGCGATGCCCAGCAGCTGGAGCTGGTGCCGGGGCACAGGCCGCCGCTGCAGGTAGCGGTCCACGCACTCCACCGTCAGGTGCAGGCACAGGCTCGTGAAGTCCTTCATGGTGGCAACCTCCACCAGCCAGTCGATCAGAATGTACCTGCAGACGGCCAGCCGTGAGGGACGGGGAAGGACTGGACAGACACTGCCCCAGAGACGACGTGCACGTGAGACACAGCCCCACGCCTCAGCCACCCAACCCCACATCCCCTGCCATGGAGTCCATTCTGACCCACAGCGCCCCTAGAGGACAGAGTGGAACTGCCCACAGGGTCTCCAAGGCTGTCAATCTTCACAGAAGCAAAGCCCAAACCACACCCACTGCTGAGTCCGTTCTGACCCACAGCGCCCCTAGAGGACAGAGTGGAATTGCCCACAGGGTCTCCAAGGCTGTCAATCTTCATGGAGGCAAAGTCCAAACCACACCCACTGCCTGGAGTCCATTCCAACCCACAGCGCCCCTAGAGGACAGAGTGGAACTGCCCATGGGGTCTCCTAGGCTATAATCTTCATGGGAGCCGACTGCCTCGTCTTTCTCCTGTGGAGAGGCTGCTGGGTTTGAACTGCCAACCTTTCAGTTAGCAGCCAAGGGCTTAACGACCGCACCACCAGAGCACCTTCACCAATCATCAGGGAAACAACCACGTCAGATACCAGCCCACCCTCACTAGGACAGCTGTGATCAGAAAGAAACAGCAGGTGCTGTGAGGACATGGAGAAATGGTGACCCATATCCCTGTGGGGGTGTGAAATGGTGCAGCTGCCCTGGGGACAGCGTGGCCATTCCTCAAAACATTAAACAGACTCACCACCTGACCCAGCAATCCCACTCCTGGGTATGTGCCCAGGAGACGGGAAAGCAGGGTCCAGCGGACATGTGCCTGCCAGTGTGCCAATGTGCAGGGCAGCCTGCCCACAGAGCCAACCCGCGGTGGCCACCCACACGTCCACCAGCAGAGGAGTGGGTATGGAAGGGAGGTCTGGCCACACAGCAGGGGGGACTCAGGCTCAAGAGAACTGCCGTGCCGACCCAGGCAACAACGTGGGTGAGCCTGAAAGCGGGCCGAGTGATCCGCCGGCCAACGTGGTATGATCCACCCGCAGGAAACAGGCAAACAGAGGAGGCCTGGTGGAGCAACGGTGAAGCGCTCCACTGCTACCCAACAAGGTAGGTGGGCGGAACCCACCGCGCTTTCCAGAGAGAAAGACCTGGCTGGCTGCTCCCGTGCCAGTCAGAGCCAAGAAAACCTACGTGCTAGCTCGACCTGACAGACTGTTCTGTTGACAGAGGTTCTACAGAAGCAACAGTCCCTCGGCCCCACTGGAGGCCGCGCCCCGGAAGCTGTACCTCATTGTATCATTGAGCCCCTTCTGCACGGAGAAGATCCGCTGCTTGCCGGCGGGGCGGGAAGCCTGGAAGAGCTGGCAGACGGCGTCGCTGCAAGCCTTCTGCTCCAGGCCGAGCTGGCTCCCGTGCGCACAGGCTTTGGCCAGGGACAGCTGTAGGGGGAGCAGACCGGCCAGGTGTGACCCGAGGCTGTGGCATCTCAAGGCTTCCCGTCTCGGAACAATCAGCAGACAAGACCCACAGGGCAGCCCGTGCCCGGGGATGCGGCTCAGAAATCAGGAAGGGCCAGGAAGGACAAAGGGCGAGAAGAACCGCAGGCAAGAAGTGGGAAGAGAGCTGTTACATCGCGGGGGCTGCAGTCAGTGACGTGAAACAGCGAGTACAGGCTGCCGAAAGGGAAACCGATTTGCCTACACTATCACGTGCACACACACACACACACACACAGCGGGAACACCAGGGCCTTGGGCACAAACCGTTAAGCACCCGGCCAGGAGCCCCGGGGACAAAGGGTCAGCCCTGGGCTGCTAACTGAAGGGCCCACCCAGAGTCTCCGTGGGAGAGGACCCGCCGACCTCCTCCCGTGTGGATTACAGCCCAGGACGCCCTTCAGGCCAGTGCTAGGCCGTCACACGGGATCGCCCTGAGTCGGCACGGACTCACCGGCCCCAATGGCAGAATCTCCTTGAACCACACCTCTGCCTGCAGAAACTACCGTTAGGTGCCCTCCAGTTCAGTGCCAAACTCACAGGGACACTGCATGGCAGGACGCTGTCCGGTCCTGCCCTGTCCTCACAATCAGTCGCGGCCCCTGCGTCAGTCCCTCCCACTGAGGGCCTCCCCCTTCTCGCTGACCCTCTGTTCCAAGCACGCCGTCCACCTGCAGGGACTGCTGCGTCCTGACAACACGACCGAGGGGTCAGAAGACAACACAGCGCCACCCTCGCTTCTAAGGAGTGTGCTGGCTGCAAAAACTAGCGTTATGTTTCCAGACGCAGCTGGCGATCCACCCAAGTGCCGCATCTCGCCTTGCGACTGGTCGGCCAGGAGGGCGGTTGGCAGCCCTGGACATGTGACCTGTCGCGTCCCTTTCTGGAACCCCTCCTGAGCCCTCTGGATGCCCGATGCCGTCAGTTACGGCGCCTTGACTCCAACTTGTCATGATGCGCATCAGAGCAGAACCGCGCTCCACAGGGGCCAACGGCAGTTTCTGGAAGGAGGTCACCAGGCCTCTTATGGGGCAGATCTGGCTGGACTCAAACCTGTGGCCTCCGGTGAAGAGCGGAGCGTGTGAACTGCTCCGAGCTAGTCAGGGCTGTGCTGAAGCAGGCTGTTGGGTGCCGCTGGGTTGGTTCCGACTGAGGGCAATCCCACGTGTGCAGAGAACTGTCCCAGGCTGTCACCTCGTGGAAGCTGACTGACACGCCTGTCCAATGAGGCACCTCTGGCCAGGTGTGAACACCAGCCTTTGGGCCAGTAGCTGAGTGCTGAACCGTTTGTGCTCCCCCGGGACTCCTTCTGGACGCCCACCAGGGTCTCGCGGTTCTTACCGACCAGCTTCAGCTTCCCCAGTGGAACCCCCGGCCAACTCCTTGTAAGTCTCCCACCGTTTTGGGTGTGGACCTTACAAGGCCCCATGGCACCCAGGGCTGCTTACACTTTGATGCTTCTGAGCTTAGCGGGCCCTCCTACCAGCCCTGGGGGGTGACAAGCCCTAAGCTGACTTCGCCTGGCAGAGGGCTCTCTCCTTGGTCCAGAAGCAATGACGTGTCTCAGCCCCAGGGGGGATCAGGGGTGACAGCGGCCAGGTTCCCAGCCGTGAGGAGCCTCTGTCTGAACCTGCTTTCTGCTGACTTGGGTTTCCCAGGACAGCCTCCGCTACCACCTTCCTATTCTGCTGACTGTACATCTCCTTAAAGTACCTGAGCTTCCCTCTTCTGGCTCATGGAGCCCTGGGGGCGCAGAGGCCGCGTGCCGACTCAAAGGCCGGCAGTGCCAGCCCGCCAGCCGCTCTGCTGGAGGAAGGTGTGGCGTCCGCCGCTGTGAACGTCACAGCCCGGGAGGCCCGTGGGGCAGCCCTCAGTCCTGCAGGCGCCAGGAGCTGCAACGGATCACCTGGGCCTTCTGAGGAGCCACTGGAGGGGCGTGAACTGCCGACCTTTGGGTGAGCAGCTGAGTGCCCGACTGTTGCACAGCCAGGGCGCCTTACAGAGGATGCTGGCAGCCTCTGCAGGAAGAATTGATGCCTCTGTGCCACGGTGTCGGTGAGAAACAGACTATACAGTCGACGGCCAGGAGAGCAAACCAGCGTGTCTTGGCAGCAGCACGGCCAGAACGTCCCTTAGCAGGTGATGGGACTCTGCCCCTCGCGCCCCTTAGCAGGTGATGGGACTCTGCCCCTCGTGCCCCTTAGCAGGTGATGGGACTCTGCCTGTCGCGCCCCTTAGGAGGTGACGGGACTCTGCCCCTCGTGCCCCTTAGCAGGTGATGGGACTCTGCCTCTCG